GCCAGCATGGCTTTTCCCTGCAATTAATTACCTCTATTCTTACACTGCCAAAGCAGCACAGGATGAACCCCTAAGGGAACTGCAACCGTGCCGCTGTACAGCAGGAGGCTGAGCCCTTGTCCAAGCATTCTGGGGCCTGCAGGAATGATGGCCTCAGTCATGCCACAGCCCAGGGTTGCCAGCTCTAGGTTGGGAAATATCTGGAGATTTTAGGGGTGGAGCCCGGGGAGGGCGAGATTTGGAGAGAGTGGGGTTTGGGGAGGGGAAAGACCCCAGCAGGGCACGCTCTAAAGCTGCCATTGCCTCCCCAGGAACTGATCTCTGTCATCTGGAGTTCAATCGCCAATACCAGGCGATCTCCAGGCCCCACCCGGAAGGGTGGCAACCCTACCACAGCCCCATCGAGGTTACGGACTGAGGTTGTGTTTGTGTTTTTCTCCCAGGCTACCTCACCCCACCAGTCCCAGCATTCCACGGTGGACGTGGGGCAGCTGCACGACCCACAGACGTATACCCAGCATGCCATCCAAGTACAGCACATCCAGGTTGCGGAACCAGCCCCTGCAGCCCCGCCTTCCTCACAGGTAGCTCACGCTTCTGCTTAGAACAACAGGAAACCTTGGCATGCCTAACTGCACAAATGCAGGATCCGAATCAGTAAATAAACCTGCTCTTAAACCTTCTCTTGAAGTATGTCAGAGCACTTCTCGCCTAATGAGTTCGCTTTCTGTACTTTTGACATTGTGCACTATGTCATCTCTTTATTCCAGTGGACAGTTTTGGAATGAATCTTCCCGCTGCTGTTGCGGGATGAAGGAAGAACTGTGGTTATGTTTTTCATGGCTGTTTTTTGCTTTATGCACCAAACTCATTAGCTGGGTCATCCTAAGCAGAATTGCACTCTGGAAACTAAGCAGGAGTTGGCCCTGGTTAGTATTTGGTTGAGAGGCCACCAAGGAAGTCCGGGGTCATGACACAGAGGCAGGCAAGGGCAAAAACCGCCTTTGAACATCTCTTGCCTTGAAAATCCTACCGGGTCGCCATAAGTCAATTGCAACTTAGTGGCAAAAAAAAGTCCACAGACTTCAGTGGGCTTAGAAGGGTGTAACTCTGCCTGGGATGTTTATTCAGAAAAAAAAATTGGAGACTGTGGTTGTGTCTACATGAGGGTCTTCTTTGTGCTGTTGAAGGGTTACTCTTCTGCAGGCAAACGGAAGCAGAATTATCGTTTTGGTTCCATGCGACATTAAAAAAAAAATTATTTCTACAAACCTGTGTGAGATCAGTGTTACAGCAGTGTGAGGCACGACATAGATTCCTGTTAATTACCTCTATTGAAGTAATGTCATAGCAGTGAGCATATTTTAGAGACAAAGGAAGGAGAGTGAGGGGGGGTGAATTAAAAGAGGCAGGAAGAGGAATGCCCGAATGCAATATTGCATTTGTTGATACAAGTTTTGTCCAACAGGTTAGAATTTTGGACCATAATGTTTGCCATAATTCTTAAGCAAAAACCTCTGTGAAAGCCAGCTAAACATCTCAAAAGAGATCCATTCATTGTAAGCTCTGACTGGATGTAAAATGTTTTAAGTCTCTACACTGGGGAGAAAAGTGGGGTATAAATGAAGGAAATAAATATCCCCCTCACAATTAGCTAGGGGTTTTTCCACCCCGCCAAACATATCACCATTTCTACATGAAACTCTGGTAATACCTCCTCTGAATTCAGTGAGATGTTAATTATGCTTACTCAGGAACAAATCTGTTTTGAGTCAGTGGGATAATCTGTTTCCCTTCTAACTATTAGTAATTTTTTTAAAAAACTTCATTCATATCCTGCATTTCTTTCCCAGTGGTGAACCAAAGTGGTTTACATTGTTCTCCTCTGCAGTTGATGTGGTGATTAAGAGTGGCGGACTCTAATCTTGAGAACTGGGTTTGATTCCCCACTCCTCCTCCACATGAAGTCTGCTGGGTGACCTTGGGCCAGTCATGGTTCTCTCAGAGCTCTCTCAGCCCCACCTACCTCACAGGGTGTCTGTTGTGGGGAGAGGAAGGGAAGGAGATTGTAAACCACTCTGATATTCCGAGTGAAGGTCAGGGTATAAATCCAACTCCTCTTCTTCTTCCTCCTCCTCTTCCCCTGTTTTATCGTCATAACAACCAGGGCTTTTTTTGTAGAAAAAGCCCAGCAGGAACTCATTAGCATAATAGGCCACACCCAACAGCCAGAACTCATTAGCATATTAGGCCACACCCCGACACCACCGCTCATTAGCATATTAGGCCATTAGGCCATAGCCCCGTGTTGCCAGAAGTGTGGTCATCCAGCCACACCCACCTTTTGCTTCTTATTCTGTTTACCTTGTTTGTTGTCTAAACCCAGGGCCTTTTTTTTGTAGCAGGGACTCCTTTGCATGTTAGGCCACACACCCCTAATGTAGCCAATCCTAATGAGTTTCTGCTGCTGGGTGTGGCCTGTTATGCTAATGAGTTCCTGCTGGGCGTGGCCAACTCAGGAGCCAGCCGGAACTCCGTTCCTGTGCGTTCCTGCCCAAAAATAGCCCTGACAACAACCCTGTGAGGTAGGTTAGGCTGAGAGTGTGTGACTGGCCCAACATCACCAAGCAAACCTCCATGGCGGATTGATGTTTCAAACCTGGGTCTCCCAGATCCTAATCTTGTGCTCTAACCACTACATCATGCTGGATTTCATATCATGTATTGGACTTGATCCTTGGATTATTTCCTGATCTTATTTGTGATTCTATGATTTGATTATTTTTTTGGAAAAAAAAAAAACCCTGATCATCTGTCACTTGCACTGCTTCATTACAGAGGACCAGAAGAACTGAAAATTGAAAAGGAATTCACATGTAAACACAGCCTTTGTCAGGCCACACCATAGCATAGCAATGCCATTCAAGGCCAAAACGATCACCACCAAAAAAACTTAGATTTCCCAAACAGATGAGAAGACCAACGTGAAAGATACAGGACTGCAATAGTTTGGCAATGATCTCTCCCAGATTCTCTGTAATAACCACATGAACCAGTTCAAACAGCTCCAGGCTACAGAGCTAGGGGGCAGCAACCCCCAAATTTTGACAACTTTATTGTAAAAGAATAAAAGTTGATTATCACTTTCTGTGGAAAGTAGTTATCCTGGGAAGCACACTTTCTGCAGGTGCTAATTATTACTGTAACTCCTAAGCATGTAGGTTCCTGGAAAATATGTGCTGTAATTGCTTTTCTCCACTGTTGTTCTAGGTGGGAAGTAAGCCCTTAAGCCCTTCGTCACAACCATCCCAGCAGGAACTCAGCCCTTCCCAGTTGCAAACACCCACCACCTCCCAAAGCCAAACTCTCCAGCCACAGCAAGGCTCCTCCGTTCAACAAACATACTTACCCAGCACGTGGAACTCATTCCCCAGCTATTGTAAGTATCAAATACGTGGGCAAATCAAAATTCCGACTAAATTCACCGATCTTTTTAAATCAAACCATCATCTAATAGAAATGGAGATGCAAAAAGATCTAGAGACCTGGCACAAAATGAATTTAGCGTGGACAGACAGATTAAATATAATCAAATCATTCATTTTACCCAGATTTCTCTTCATTTTTAGAACTGTACCTCTCCCAATAACCTCAACTCAAATCTGTAAATGGCAGAAGATGCTTTTAAATTTTTTCTGGGCTTACAAACACCATAGAATCAAGAGCCACACTCTATATAGAAAATCAGACAAAGGAGGAATTAACTTCCCTAACATACAACACTATTTCAATGCTATCAATATGGCCCATATAATTAAATAGCTACAGGCTGAACCAAACTCGGATCTAGTACAACTAGCGAACTTCTACACAAACCCTTGCAGTATACAAGAATGTATATGGCAAGGAAAACTAGACAGGCCAAACAAACTTAAAACTAATACGATACTCTCAGCATCACTGGACATATGGGACCGTTTAAGACCAAAACTCTTACCATCTACTTCTAGATATCAAGCATTTTTAAATCAAATCTGGCTTTTACTAGGCCTCAGAAACCCAAGCTTCAACATATGGAAAGATGCTGGAGTCAATACTCTCCAGGATCTTACGTACATGAATTCTCTTCTATCTAAAACAAATCTCTTCTATCTAACACAAAATACCCTGGATCCAATACTTCCAAATATCTAACCTATACAAACGTCTCAAACTTGACCAGATAATGAAACAACCTCTGATGGCATTAGAATAAATTATCAGAACAGCAAAGGTATCTGTGAAGGGACTGATATCAAAAATATACACGACACCAACTGCTGTAGAATACAAAACTCATCTTCCCTACCAATCCCTCTGACACAAAGAATGCAACATTCAATTAACAGATGCATCTTGGCAATGCATATGGACTAATCCACCCTTTAAAACTAAAATTGTATCAATGAAACTGCAATCTTTTAAAATATTAGCGCATTGGTACCTCACACCCAACAAACTGGCACACATGACTCACGCATATGATCCCAGTTGCTGGAAGAACTGTGGCAATAGGGGCACTTGCATTGCTGGGTGTCGTCCCAAAATATTACCCTTTTGGGAAGCTGTATTAATACAAATCAAATCATTTCACAATTTAGACATCACACCCACTCCTGAAAACTTGTTTTTAAACAGTTGGGTAGCTCATAGCTCTGCTCCTTCAGTGGTGGAGAGGGTCTCTATACTGCTATTTGCAGCCAAGACGGTCATTGCCACCCACTGGAAAACGACAATGACACCCACAATTACACATTGGCACAAAAAAATGTGGGATTTATATATCATGGCAAAACTCTCGGAAAACCTTGCACGCTTTGACAGAATTCCTGCTCCTTCCACCTATTTGGTTTCCTATTCTAGAATACCTGCAACAATTCGAAGACACTCCCAAGGAAATTGATGCATTACACCTGTGGTAAAACTCAAACAATCATTATATCTGTTGGTAATCTATTATTGTTCCAAAATGGAGTCTCTACACTACCATAAGAAAGCATGTTTTCTTTGTGATTATATGATATGTATCAAATTTATTAGTTATTAAGATCAACTGGAATTACATTTGGTATAAATTACCATTACCTGAATTGCAAATGCTTATTACTCACAAATGTGTTTGTAACACCTATTCTCATTTATTATACAACCTATTACCACTATTCTTATATTCAATAAAAATATATTGTATTAAAAAAAAATACGTGGGCAAGCGGCCACCAAAGTTTGTGCCACCTCTCGCTTTTGAAGGCACTGGGAAGTTCTGTTAGGTCACTGGGTCTCCAAGCTACAATTGAAATAACCAGAAAAGTGTGCAAAGAGCTTTCCCCACCTTTGAAAAGAAGCTCTTGTTCAGATGGAGCTTTCCACGCACACTAGAGCCCCAGTTAGTCTGGTTTCACTGCTAGGCAGTAACACAATCGAGCCGATCAGCATGCCCGTTAGTTAAAGTTTAGCTTTTCAGCTGTAGCTTAATCTTACTCTGGGATACTCATGAGACAGGAAAGTTGGATTCATAGCGGTCGTTAATGCTTGACTCATATGTGACGGCAGACTTTGGTTTGGTGCTAATTGGGAAGTCTTTCTCGTCTTTCAGTCAGAAGAGGAAGGAATTAAAGTGTGCAAACCAAGGACTTTCAAGGCTCATTTCAATATGGGTTTTTATTTATTTATTTACTTACTTACTTCATTTATACCCCACTTTGATCTCCAACGGGAACCCAAAGCAGCTTGGATAATCATTCTCCCCATTTTGGCCTTACAACAACCATCTGATGAAGTAGGTTGGGCAGAGAGAGAGAGAGAGAGTTAACAGGACCAAGGTCATCCAGCTTCCATGGCAGAATGGGGATTAGGATCTGGGTTTCCTAGACCCTAGTCACACACCCTAACCATTATGCCACTCTGTTGGCCACAAAGAGAACAATTTCATATATTGCTTAGGAAAACTCACCCTTAAAAATTTGCTTCTACGAAGTCGCATAGGATTTATTTTTAACCTAAATGTTCCTGAATTTAGTCCTGACAGGTTGGTTACCAAGAACCCACTTGGCAATCCCTGTTTTTTCAAAAAGAATTGCTGCGCTCTGTAGAGAACAGGTCCAGTCATGAGGGATTTTTTAATGTTGGAATTAGTGTTAGAGTCCCACAGCAATCAGTTCTAGGGTTGCCAAGTCGATCTTCGCCGGGAGCGGGGGGCTCCCGGCCGGTGTTTGGTGCGCGCGCGCCGCATGCACGTCACCCGGAAGTGACGGGATGACGGCAGGCACGCTGGGGGCGGGGCCACGGCCATACAAGGTAAACCATAGAGTTTTCCCTCGGATGGCTGTGGCCCCGTCCCCAGCGTGCCTGGCGTGGTCGCGTCACTTCCAGGTGACACGCACGTCGGGGAGGAGTTCCCCCCGGGGCCCGATCTGGCGGCGCCAGGGAATGGGCCTCTGGGGCGGGGATTTCCCCGCCCCCCATGGGGACTTGGGAAACCTAATCAGTTCCCAACAATTTCTATTCAAAAGAGTGAAGTTTGTTGAATTCAGGTCATCTGTGCATACATTCTGTGTTAGAACTGATTGCAAGTGTGCGCAATGGGGAGTTATACATAAATCAAAGGGGGTCCCCCTGATGGGCCTGGGCCAATCAGGGAACAAGCAAAAGCCCACCTAACTTAACGGGTCTACGTTCTCAGAGAAAGCCACAACAAGGTACCAAGGTCACCGGCCTAGGCTAAGAGAAGAAGAGTCCGGAAGAAATTAAAGTTAAGATTCCATTACAGCAACATACCATCCATCACCTCCCCCCCTCCACCAGCTATGGCAGCAGCTTAGCTGACAATTAGTTGGCTTGATCCAGTGTTTAAAAACAGACGTTAATAGGCAACCCCAGGGGTCATTTCCTGCAGGAGCGCAAAGGAGTGGAGCTCCAGCAGTAAAGAGCCCAGGGGGCGGGCGCATGCAACAAGCCCCACCCCCTGCTCCCAGCAGCCCTCAGTCAGAGCAAGAAGCAGCCAGGTAAGCTGCAGAGCCCCCCCCCCCGGCTCCCCAGTCCAAAACAGTCCAGTGGCACCTTTAAGACCAAGTTTTATTCAGGCACAAGCTCTCCCTCCTCTGCGAGGACAGATCTGCACGTCCCCCCCCCCAGTAGCTAGCAATCCAAAACAGTCCCGTGGAGCCTGAGCAGTGGGTGTTGCCTTCTGACACACTTCCGGTGATGTCTGGGGGTGTGGCATATGCAAATAAGTTATGCTAATGAGTTATGCTAATGAGCTCCTGCACCTCTTTTTCTACGAAATGACCCCTGGCCAACCCTATAACTCACAGGCTTTATTTTGGCCTGCTGATAATTCTGTATTTTACTGTGAATGTTCAACTGTATTTCTTCCTCTTCTGATTTCGCCTTCTAGCTTCTGAGATTCAGTATGTGATCGCAGAGACTGCTGTCGGGGCTCCTGTCACTGCAGGGCAAGTGAAGCCTGTTGCCCAGGTAGGAAGAAAGAGGGCTCTTTTAGGTGTGGGGTTGGATGATCATTTCAGAGGTTATGTACATGAAGCATTTAGCACTTCAAACGCATCATACAAATGCTTGGAAACCATTACCAGATGTTTAAATAAGATTTTGCTAAGCACTCCAGTATTGTCATCTATGTATTGCCGATGTGGATGGTGAGGGAGCGGCATACCTAAGAGCAGAGCTACAAGTTATCGTTTCACATGCCTGTTCCCAAAGCCACACTTGCTAGGGGCAGGCGAGGCATGGTGAGGCAGAATTAAGCCCTTCCAGTTTGGTGTAGTGGTTAAGTGCGCGGACTCTAATCTGGGAGAACCGGGTTTGATTCCCCACTCCTCCACTTGCACCTGCTGATGTGACCTTGGGTCAGTCACAAGCTCTGGCACAGCTGTCCTTGAAAAAGAGCAGTTTGTGTCAGTTCTCTCAGCCCCACCCACCTCACAGGGTGTCTGTTGTGGGGAGGGGAAGGGAAAGGTGTTTGTAAGCCGCTCTGAGACTCCAAGTGAAGGGCGGGGTATAAATCCAATCTCTTCTTCTTCTTCTTCTTCTTCCACATCCCCAGACTCTCTCTTGAAAATGGCCCTAAGGCCATTTCATCTGAGTCGGTTGGCTTCTGTCACTGAACATTGGCCCCGTTCATACGAAGCGTTTTGAGCCGGGAGTGGGCCGGATTGGAGACAGAGCAAACGGGCGCGATCCCACACCAACATCTGGCTGGCGTTGCGCTCCCGTCTCCGATCCGGCCCTTCCCTCGATGAGGTGCATCAAAAGTGAACCACCTACCCGAGGTGGTTCATCCGGACGACGCGCCGCAAACCAGGCCGTCGGATCGCTGGCGCGTCTTTGCCCCAGCGCATCCCCGGCTCCTAGCCGAACTGCGCATGCTCCGACATGTGCAGTTCGGCAGGCTCCGCGTCTGATCGTGCCGGGGAGAAAAGGCGCCGCAGCCAGGGGATCCGTGGGATCCCACCGCGGCGTCACAACTTTGGCGCGGCTTTTAAAAGCCGCACTTTTAGAGGCTTTTCCCCTGCCGTGTGGCAGGGGCTATTGAAGACTATTAGCAAGAGGACATAAGTGGATAAGGGAAAATGTGATTACCTCTCTCCCATCCAGTCATTCTGACCTGCAAAGGTGTTACAAGGGAAGCATATGGGAACACTTTATTTCCCTCGGGCCATGTAGTTTCACCCAAAGATCAGTCCCTGAGCTCACAACTGAGACCAGATTGGGTGCAGGGTCTTCCCAGCGGATAGTGATGTGTACACCTCTACAAAGACTGCACAGAGTGGGGGCTGTAATACTACTCATGACATTTGCATCCTTGTGTACACTTCCTTTCACAGTGTTGCACTGAAGGGCTAAAGCCATACAATCGTTACTTAGGCATATGCAATATTTAGGAGGTACACTTGGGAACAAACACCCTTTCAGTAAGTGTTCTGAGGGAACACACAGAGGATCTGGTGGCATGCGTGAGTTTTCAAGTTATTTGTTAACTTAGGCCTTTTGTACTCCCATACCAAATAAACATAGCATGCATTTTTGCCAGATGTTAGCTTTCCATTTCATGTAGCTGGTGGCCAGGAAAGGACTGAGCTCTGATGCTCCTTTTAAGAGAAAAACAATTATTAGTATACATATGCATACTTTGGACCCAATGCATGAAGTTGTGTATTTTTGCACTTGCATCCCTACATTCAGCTACAGAATGACTCATGACAAGTGGTCCTAACTGGTATGCCAGACTGTAAGTCTCAAAGCATCATTTATCGTTAGATGGAAATGTACACTGGAACATGGTTGTTTGAGTATTCATATGCCACCTTTCTGCTTGACAACAAGCTTCCAGGGTGGTTCACAGTAAGAGAACACAGATACATAATAAGGTGCTGGAGTCTATTTGGAAAACAGAGGCTGAGCTGAAATGCCCTCCTTCCCAATCCTTTTAAAGGGTCTGTGTAGCTCTCACCCTTGAAGTATGCTACCTAGCAACCAAGGCCAGGTAACACTGGATATTTTGTACTGAGAAAACAAGCTTTTATTCGTTCAGCCAGATGAAGAGTCTGCAGCTCCAGGCTCTTCCCAGCAGCACTGGGAGGCAATGAAAGCAACAGTTTTTTTTATCTGGTTAAGGAACATCTAAAGAAAGAACGACTCCATCTACAGGACCTTCTGCTTTAATGCATTTACTTCTTCATGGCATAGGATGTAGCGAAATGGAAGACTGTCTTAGAATTCTGTTTTAACTGAATTAATCCAAGTTCATCCATTTTGCGCGCGTGCGTGTGTGTGTAAAATAACATCTGATGTCCCAGATTTGGATACAAAAGTGTATACCACGTTTAATTGAAAGGAGGAGAACCCTGAATTTAAAGCAACCTCCTTAAATTAAATCATGGGCATGAGATGGTCCATGGGGTCGCGAAGAGTCAGACTCGACTGTGCGACTGAACAACAAGAACAACATTCAATGTTATACTTCAAAAAATATGATTGGACATAACCGTAATTTGCATGCAAATGTAAGATGATCTTCTCTTTTGTTTTGATGATATGCCCATGAAAAAAACCCTGCTTTTTGCATTTGAGTAAATACTGTTTTCCCCCCTCTCCCTCTGCAGACACATTATGTAATATCCGGAGGTCAATCTGAACTAGATGTAAAACCAAACCTTTCGCTTTCCAGTGGTGTAGAAGTGGACTTGGCCCAGCCATCGACACATTCTGACCCCCTGGAATCCCCAACAGCCAATCAGCAGCAGACAACACAATACATCATCACAACCACCACTAATGGCAATGGAAGCAACGAAGTGCACATTGAAAAGCCATGAACTTCCTTTGCAGTGGATAAATGAAGACATTCGGTTGGGCCAGCTGACTTTCCAGGACGTTCCCCTAAAAATATGGAGCACCAAGAGCTGTTTTTTTTATGTTTTCACACATACAAAACGAAGCTCCACATTTCTTGTTGACGCTTTAAAGAATTTGACAACTATAAGAAATTGAAACATCCACGATCCCTGCGAGGATACGACCATCTTCCGAAGCACTTGAGCAATGAACAGTCATAGAAAATGGAAACCGAGTTTCCTCTGGATTGTTATTTGGCATACCCCTTGCGGAGCCTTACTTTTCTTTTCTGGATGCCCCTCCAGCTTCGATATCAACACTGAAGGAAAAAGGTTGCTAGTCACATGGCTGCCGGCGGAATGTCTTTTACCCTTCTAATACCTACAGTTTTTTTAAAAACAGCATCCTATGGCTAATTATGTTTTCAGGTGGCTTTATTTCTAAGTAGCCATGGGAGAAGGCAATCTACCCGCTTGGGAAAAGCATTGCCTGGAAAGAAGGAACAATCGTAAACCCTTATTTCCCACTCTATGCGTGGGACAGATGGGACAATGAAACTGTGAAGCTGTGCAGCAGCAGTTAAATTATTATTGGGTTAGGGTGTTTGTGTGTTTTTTTTGAACCTTGTGAACTGTTTACATGCCACCTTGCACTGCCCTGGTACTCAGTTCTGGAGAGTATGAACGGAGCAGATTCGGAACCTTCAGAAGTCTCCACCGCACCTAATGAAATCAGAGTAGCATACGATGCTTAAACGTTCCACTGTTTGGCTGTGTTCCCTCCATCCAAGGGGAGGGGGAGAATTGGTTCCTTTTCTCTGAACAAAACCAATAAAAGGCTCGGAGACCTAAATGTGTTCAGTGGCTTTTGATGTGTTCATTACCAATTATTAGGTCAGGAGGGGGGATAAGTGGGGAGGCAAGGCCCAGTGTAATTTATTGGAGGCCGAACTTACAGGAAGGAGCGGCCTTGAACACTGTTATCCAGGGCTCTTTTTGTAGACAAAGCCCAGCAGGAACTCATTAGCATAATAGGCCACACCCAACAGCAGAAACTCATTAGCACATTAGGCCACACCCACGACAGCACAGTTCATTGGCATATTAGGCCACGCCCCCTTGTTACCAGAAGTGTGCTCATCCAGCCACACCTACCGTTCCCTTCTTATTCTGTTTACCTTGTTTGTTGTCAAAACCCAGGGCTTTATTGTAACAGGAACTCCTTTGCATGTTAGGCCACACACCCCTAATGTAGCCAATCCTAATGAGTTTCTGCTGTTGGGTGTGGCCTATTATGCTAATGAGTTCCTGCTAGGCGTGGCCAACTTGGAAGCCAGCCGGAACTCCGTTCCTGTGCGTTCCTGCCCAAAAATAGCCTTGGTTATACCATTGAGTTTGCTGTGGGCAGAGTCCCTTTAACTTCACAGCACTGAAAGATAGCTCTCTGACCTTCTTCCCCCTGCTTCCGCAGTCTGGGGATGTTACATTGCTGCTGTCTGCAAACTTTCATTCTCCCTCCCCCTCCCTTCACAGAGGCCGGTTGAAAAAGGCAGCTAATTTCAGTGGGCTTTTTATAAAACGAGTGGCCTCACTCTATAGGGGGGAAAACACCCCCACACACCCCCAAAGACAGTGTATCAGTATTAAAGGACAACAAAAGCCATCTCGGAAGACTGTGTGATTGAAAAAGCCTGGGGCACAATCCGCTGGCTTCTCCTTCATAAGCCCTGTTTAGATTAATGGTTCCGCGCAAGGCAGTTGTTGCGTTCCCAATAAACCCCCAATTCATTTCACCACGGTTTGCTCAGGAGACGTTCTAAGCCAAGTGGGCTCAGCTTGGGACTGGCTGAAGCTGGTGTTTCTTCAACACAGCTTATTCGAAGGCTGCACTTTGTTATTTCAACCAACTGGGACAAATAACTTCCAAGTGCAACATTCCAGAGAGTGAGAGCAGTGGTTTTCTTTACTGTTATTGGAGAGAGACACTAAAAATCTTTATTATCCTTCCTTAAATTTGTTCCTAGAATGTTGTAGCGTAATACAACACCATTTGTTCCAGACTCTAGAAGCTCTCCAAAGAACAGCCATTCAGCTGTCATAAAGTCAGCTTGGCATCCCAGTTAAGAAACCTATTATTTGGAGGAAAGTCCAGTTGATTCCAGCGAAATAGACTTTCACATAACAGAAATACAACCAGGGAGCAAGACAGTCAGTTTCCTCGCTAACTGGCAATGTTCTAAGCGCATTTCACAAGGAACAAAATGCTCATGTCCTTTCCTTAATGTGGCTGAACAAAGTTTGAGTCTGTTATATTAGTTCTGGTTAGCCTGTTCTAGAAAAGCATACCATTACTTTCCAGCATTGATCAAGTAGCTATGCTGCTGTGATTAGCAAAGCGCAGCGTATCCAGTTACCCCCCAAGCCTTCCAAAGCATCTGCTTGTTTACCTAGACAGCTAATTTTGTAGTAAAACTAAGTGGAGGCACAAAAGTAAATAGTCGGGAAAATATAATAATGGACAACCAACGTCTTTGCTCAGTGCTGGCAGAACTGGAGCATTATTACATCAGTAGAGATCAGAAACTGTGTTGCTTTTTCTTACCTGCACCATTCCTGACCTGGATAGCTCAGGATAGACCGATCTTGTCAGATCTGGGAAGCTAAGTAGGCTCGGTCCTGGCTAGTGTTTGGATGGGAGACCTCCAAGGAATACCAGCGTTGTGATGCGGAGGCAGGCAAGGAATACCAGGGCTGTGATGAGAAGGCAGGCAATGGCAAACCACCTCTGAATGTCTTCTGCCTTGAGAACCCCATGGGGTTGCCATACGTCAGCTGCGACTCGATGGCCGTTTCCACCACCCGCGTCGTTATACAGCATACTCAGCCACGGTCAAATAAGCAGAGTGACGATGTAAGATTTATGAACATGAAAGTTAGGTGTTGTACGTCCATATATCCACTAAAGTTGTGACATTTTAAATGACTCGTGGAGGATAACTCTATTAATGGCTACGAGCCATTGTGCCTGAGAGGAGCCTCCACACTCAGAGGCACTAATCCTCTGAATCCCAGAGCCAGGAGGTAACAGTGTGAATGCCTCAGCCTCTATGCCCTGCTGTTGGCCGTCCGGAGGAACTGGTTGGCCACTGTGTGAGACAGGATGCTGGATTAGATGGACCACTGGTCTGATCCAGCAGGGCTCCTCTTGTGTTTTTATGACTGGAAGGAGCTGAATACTATAACATATAGTTGGACTAAGTCCAGCGGCACCTTTAAGACAACAGTTTTATTCTGGGTATAAGCTTTGGTGTGCACACACACTTCCTCAAGCTTTTAAGCAGAATAAAACTTTGTTGGTGTCCAGGGCTTTTTTTGTAGAAAAAGCCCAACAGGAACTCATTAGCATAATAGGCCACACCCAACAGCAAAAACTCATTAGCATATTAGGCCACACCATGACAGCACAACTCATTCGCATATTAGGCCGCACTCCCACGTTACCAGAAATGTGGTCATCCAGCCACACCCACCTTTTGCTTCTTATTCTGCTTACTTTGTTTATCGTCAAAACCCAGGGCTTTTTTTTTGTAGCAGTAACTCCTTTGCATGTTAGGCCACACACCCCTAATGTAGCCAATCCTAATGAGTTTCTGCTGTTGGGTGTGGCCTATTATGCTAATTAGTTCCTGTTGGGTGTGGCCAATTCGGGAGCCAGCCGGAACTCCGTTCCTGTGCGTTCCTGCCCAAAAATAGCCCTGTAAAGGTGCCACTGGGCTCCAAATTTGCTCTGTTGCTTCAGACCAACAGGACTACCCACCTGAAAATAGTTGGGCTGCGATTCTAAAATCCCAGTGAAGCTCCTAAGTAGAAGATCCTGAATTGGTTTGTCAGTCCATCTCCAAAATACGGACCCTCTGCAGATTCTGGAAAATACTTTTGACTAGCGGAGGCTCAGGCCTGCTCTCTGAAGGAAATGCTGTCACTTCCCTCTGGCCTTTAGAGAAGATCCCTATTTCAGTGTAGAAATCTGCCTCAGTTGTGTCTCTCTCCCCACCCTCCTTTCAGAGGGAGCACACTTTTCATCTTTCCTAAAGCTGCTGGGATGACATTTTTTGACATTTCATGATACATGAAGTTGACTTACATATGGCATTAACTTTGATGCTGGTCTTATTTAATTATGTTAATTGTACATTCAGTAGCTGATGTCGTATGTTAATAGTCTTGTGCTAACTGCCAGGTGTAAGAACAAAATGAATAAATCTTCTTTTCTTTTTTTAAATCAATAGTTATTTGTGCTTTCCTAGTGGGACCAACCTAATATAGGTCAGTTTAGATTCAGTTATCATAGATGTGGATTGGTGGTGTTTCGGGGTCTCTTTTGTTACCCACAAGGACTTCCTCCCCCCCCCATCCAGCAGTTCTTCTGCTGTGTCAGAAAGTATACCCTTCTGCGTTTTGAAACTCCCCCAAGATCAAGCTTTCTGCAGTGAAGGACCCAGATACATAAGAAAAGTTACGAGCTGCATGGCAAAGTTCTGCAGGCACAGGGGGGAATCCAACAAAATGGCCGCTTTCCCCTCTTCAACTCACAGCCTGCATCTGTGAAGAGGGTTTCACTTCATTCCTCCTTGCCGCTGAAGCCCCTATTCTGTATTTTTTATATTTTACTTGTGAGGCTCTACCAATTTTCATAGAGGAGCTTGGTACAGTGGTTAAGAGCAACAGACTCTAATCTGGAGAACCGGGTTTGATCCCCCACTCCTTCACATGCAGCTGCTGGGTGACCTTGGATCAGTCACAAGTTCTTTCAGAACTGTTCTCTCAACAGCAGTTCTCGAAAGAGTTCTCTCAGCCCCACCTGCTTCACAGGGTGTCTGTTGTGGAGAGGGGAAGGGAAGGAGATTGTAAGGCACTCTTGAGACTCTGAGGGAAGAGTGGGGTATAAATCCAAATCTTCTTCGTGGTCTCTGTGCTTCACACCAATGGGTTTAGTGCGCCTGCACTGACCCAACCGGTGCCGTAGCAAGCTATGTTTCAAAGGATTTTCGCGCGAGTCCCACTGAGCATGCGCAGGAACCCCAGCACG